TGCCCAGGGAAGTGGTTGAGTCACCATCCCTGGAGGTATTTAAAAGACCTGTAGATGGGGTGCTTAGGGACATGGTTTAGTGGTGGACTTGGCAGTGCTAGGTTAATGGTTGGACTTCATGATCTTTAGGGTCTTTTCTAACCTAAATGATTCTATGAAACCAGCTAGTGTTCTATCTGAAGCACACAAATAATCATCGTTACCGTATGGACTTCAGATAACTTTTAGTATATTAACTCTGCCATTGTTCCTGTGAGGTAAAGCAATATGATTAGCCCCGTTTCAGAAAAGGAGCACTGAATATTGGATTACAATATTTTTGAAAGTGTTTAGATGCCTATGGAGGTAGAGTAGCATGAAGTTTTTCAAATATAGAGATGAGTTAGGTACTGAGGCACTATCTATTTGTTTTTTTAGAGATCTGAATACTTTTAAAATTGTGTTTTTTGTCAGTTTGGAAAAAGCAAGGATTGCAGTTCCAGCCTCTTTTCTTCCAGCCCCACTCACTATTCCACCAGACCAAGGTGCATCAGTCCAACATGAGTTCTTTACACCAGAAGTTCTTTACACTTCTTCAGTCACACTGGTTTATACAGCAGAAGTAATAAATTCACTTACTTGTGCAAGTCTTGTTGTATTTAGGGTTCTCTTGAGGGAACCCTTCCAACCGGCACTGGAACCTGTGCTGCCAAAATTCCTGAAACCATGGATTTCGGTGATTGGTTTCTGGCCGAAGCTGTAGGTAGTAATCATCAAACCATTTCACATCAGGAGACTGGAGCTTAATCGTTATTCCACCAACAGCTTCATGCTGATACCCGTCTGTCACGTCGTACCTGTCTGCCCAGCCATCACTGCAGGGATAAGTGAAATAGAGACAACATTAACCATTCAACGGAGGAAGGAAAGAACTTTCTTAAAAATGAAATTCGGAGCCTGAGAGCACACACCTACACCTGTGATTCTGAGTGGAGTTTAGTAAAGCACCTGTAATACTTCTAGCAGAATAATTCAGTGTTTTCCTTTTCCTTACATTTGCTTGTCATTGGCACCTTCTACTTAGATGATATGTTCTTCATTCTTCACTTCAGGTAATAGAAACAATGTTAAAAATCACAGATCCTGAAATCTGCCATGTATAAGCACATCTCTGCATCACGCTAAGCCTCACTGAGCTCTGGGGAGAAAATCTAGGATTCAGTTTTACTGACACTGGGATGATACTACTCTTACCTGAAAGGAGGTGACCTTGAGGACAGGACCTCTTACAGTGTGAAGGGCAGGACTGTGTTGCAGATCATGCCTATGTGGCACAATGGAGCTTGGCACAAAGAGCCAGAAGCAAATTTTGAATGGGCTGACACTGCTCAAGCAGAAATACCCGCTCAGAGCTCAGATGCTGAGTCAGTACGGCATTGCATCTGAAGCAATAAATCCTCTCTGCAGACATGACTAATGAAGCTGGGCAGAGCATCATGCAGATCCATGTGTTGCTTCTGTTCCTTGTTTGCTGGTGGCTGGAGTGTTATGAACTTGTGTGACACTATCCTGCACACAGGATTTTAGTCCCCTTCTGTTAGCCTTTCTGCTTGCAACACTCTGACCACAAATAACCAGAAGTGACTGAAAACCCAAATCCAACAAAATGTCACAAACTTCTCAGGATAATTCTCCTCTTCCTGGTTTTACAATGGATTTTCTTGGAAGTACTGACATTTACAAAGTTTCACTCAACTCCACTAATAATGTACATATCTCATTAAAGCATTGCAGATTTCTGCTGTTTTATCATGAACATGATATTTCAGTTTTTCAAAAAACCCAAGTCTTACAGTTAGAGAATTGTGGAAGAATCTCAGATTGTTTGTTTTTTCCATCTAAAAAGGCACTGATGTTAATGACTATAGAGAGCACCTTTAAATCCTAAAGGTCAAATAACAGAAGGATAAAAAATAAGCTTAATTTGTCCTATTTTAAAACTTCATGAGTTGTTTAAAGCTAGCCCTAACTATTTGAAGTTAGTCATAGTGTAACTGATGTAGGTGACCTTTATCTTTATGTTGTTCTATTTTGACCATTTGCTGCCTGGCTTAAACTTTGCTCCTGTATTGCAGAGCATGCAGGAAGCCTGCTGCAGTCACGGGGTCCGCAGCACATTCCTGTTCTCTACACGGGGACTCAGCTGTCCTCACACAGTGCAGAATTCAAGACCTCAGACAGTAACTCCTTCTGCACAAGACACTGTTTTCATTGAAGCCTGGACTCTTGACTTCATCTTATTAGCACAGCTGCAATGACAATAAATAGCAGCTTCACCAGTGGCAAAAATAATATCCAGTGTCTGGAATAAAAATTAAGGGACTATTAAACATGTTTCAGATTTCAAATGCACTAATTTACTCAGCACAAAGAGTAAAATATACATTCATGAAAGGAGAAAGATGAGCACTGATTTCCAGCTCAAATACAGCACTTGGAAAATTTACCTTCAAGCTTAGATCCAATTAGGGATGAACACAGGTGTTAATGTTCCCAACCACACTCAGGAGGCTCAGTACAGGCAAATGCTCCCCACCTTCCACCAGGACTATTTACTGGACGAAGAGTTAGAACCATTTATGGGTTGTTTTGTGATAAAAGCTGCAGAAGGCTTTTTACATTTATGAGCAATTTAACCTTTTCTTTGAAGGATTCATCTTAATCTTTGGGAAGTTTTTAAGCAGTTTTATCCATCCTCATAAAATCTGACAGGTTTTATGAATGCAAGAAGTGATATGTTTTCTGTAGTGTGCTTTTTTTTTTAACTGAATAGAATTTAAGAGAATTAGAGCTTTGCTGTCAGTATCCCAGCTTTATGAGTTGTCTCATAAACAACTTAGAAAGAAACTGTTTCCTTGTAATGAATTTTTTAATCAGTTTTCAGAGGAACAGTTTTGTAGATCTAATCCAGCAAAGTTTTATAAAATTCATAGTATTATTTTATGAATAGTTATCCTCTCTAAAAAAATTTGCAACAGAGATACCATTTTATAACTTTAAGTTTTTAAAAAAAATAGAAATAACAACTTCATATTATATAACCCTTCTCAACTTTTCAGCAGAAGGGCTTCTTAATTCAACAGAGTTGCTTTTCATTCAAATAAGTATTTCAGCTTAGCTTCTTGGGCAAAAGGCTTTTAGGAGCATTATATAAAAGATATACTCAAAGTGTATATTGTCGAGACAACAATGTAGAGATAACAAAGCCTCAGACAGACAAGGTGGCAAAGCAAATGCTAAACTAGTATCTAAAGGCCAGTGAAAGTAGAGTAAGAAAACAGGCTTGCATGAATATAAAAAAGCACTGGTAGTGTGTGATATTTAAATTCTGCACCCACAGTAGAATAACAACACTTATGGGGTGCCGATGACAGGATGATATAGATGTATTTGGGATATTAGACCTGTGACATCCTCTGAACTCAGTAAGGGGTGTGAAGATGAGGGAGAAGGGGACAGAGGGGGAGACACCTGCTTACTTACATGGTCATGCCTGTCCCTCCTTAGACCTTCTTTCTTCTCCTAATAGCTTAATTTTACTGTAGTAGCTGGTGATATCATTGTACTTCATTGGTGGTTGCATTATGAAAGGTTCAAAACAGTATTACCCATTACTAAAATCTACTGGTTCAACTGAAAAAAAGATTCTCTGGCTGTGACAAGGAGCTCCAAATGAAGTCCAGTATAATCTCCACTCTCACCCACAGAAGAAGTGGCGAAGCGCATAGGCTACCACTAATGCAGTGCAGGACTGTGTGCTGGTGAAAAAGATGGTTCTTTATGTTAGCAGTGGGGTGTATAGGATATTTAGGTGCACAAGTGATTAAGAACAGCTTCCTCACAGGTAGTAAAATAAGTACAGGTGAACAGTATTCCAGTAATGATTATGAAAGAGTCCAAACAGATTAAATAGGACATGGATATCCTTAACAGATCACCACACAAGTTCATTTTTTTCTGCCTTGCATGGACACTGTGCTTTCCAATTTTATTCTGATTAGGTGATTAGGTGATTCTGATTATTAGAAATAGATGGTGTTGCTTTTAAACGAATGGGCAAATGTCCTTAAAGTGATCCCACCAGGACTTAAAGATAGAGTTGCACATGAAGAAACCTTGCTGTGAAAGAAAGCAGTAGTTGCACAGCTGCAGCACCAAAAGTAAAAGCTCCTTGCTGAGATATCTATCAGGTGTACTCAGTAATGCATATACCTCATTCATCAGCCTGCCAGGGTAGAAAGTTGTCAACAAGGTAAGAGGACTATGACATGTGCAGATCTGGCTGCCCTCAATATTACACTCACACTCAACCCAGTGGGGAACTGTCTTTCAGGATCATGACGTGTTTTCCTCTCATCCAGTTGTTTTGTGTTTCTGTTCTTGGCTGTCAGACTAATGTCTGGTGCATTTTCCTTAAAGGCTGGTGGTGTGATACAGGATAATAACCATGCTGTATCAAACAAAATATATCATTGTTAATGATGTTTCTAAAAAACCAAAACAAAACAAGAAAAAGATACCATTTAAGAAAATTCTTGTGCACCAAAGAAAATAAGGTATCACAGAAGGAAGAAAAAAGGGAAAATGGCTAAATGGCTTTTACTGTTGCAGTATTAGCAAGAGATGAACTTGAATTAGGAGGTCCATTATCATAATGTTCTTTGTCTGTTATCAGATCTTATTTGCGTGTGTACATTGTCCCAGCTACCAGTTTTTGAAGGATATGCCAGGGTGCTGGAGATTTTAGTGGAAAAAAAAATCTTTCAGCAAACAGAGGGGAAGAGTTCTGCTCCTTTGTTAAAGCTCTGTTTAGTTTACTCACAGTAAATCACAACATAGTTTTATATCACAGAAAGGCTCCAATAAATGACACGACAGAGCCACCCATATTTACAAATTTTATTAATGAATAAATATAACAATTAATGAATAAATGTAAATACAATAAAATAATTCAAATTTTTAGATCATTACTGTACATACAATTACTTTTAAACATCTGAACAGAAAAGGAGAGGCAAATGAGACCCTATTTAAATGACTGGGTTGCACAGCTGTGATCACAGATAGTGAGCACCCTGCTCACTTCCTCCCCCACAACCCTGGATACTAACGGTAGGGAATAAGTCTTCAGACTCCTCTAGCTGAGCATACCTGAACAAGTAGGACTGTCACTGTAGGACCAGTATGTATTGTTATACTGTATGTATATAGAAGATAGAGGTGCAGACTTTTTCGGATTATGTTTGCCATGGTAAAATGTGAGAAACTTGAATGTGGCTTCCTGGATTTTCTGTGTTTTGTCCTTTCCCATCTTTCCCATCTTCCGTGTGAAATAGCCAGCACCAATAAGAGCTTCCCCAGATGGATGGCACTGTTGTGCCAACTTCAATCCACTTTGCCTATCATATACAGGGATTGTGGGAGGAAGGAAAATCAATCTTTGACAATAAAGTGTTGATACCCAAGAAAGATGAGATGCGGGACTGCATTTGTTGCAAAGAAATCTCCACCTGTATGAATGAAGTCGTTTTGTTTCTTCTGGAAAGAATCACCATGGAGGGAGGAGAACATTCAGGTGAAGACCAGCACAGGATCAAGCTCATGCTTGAAGCATTATGAAGAGGTCATCAGAAAGACACTTAATGACTATAAAGACCACTCAATATGCGTGTTGGTGATGGCTGCTTTGGCCTCATACAGTGCAGTCAAGAAATTGCTAGCCCTCCTGAAAAACATTTACAAAAAGGTGAAGTTAGTCAATCCCCGTCAACAATGACCTAAGCATTTAATTCCACAAAATGTCTTCAAAAGT